TCCCAAAAAATCCTTATCAAACTGAATGTAATAACTAACAGTAGTTACACACACCATGACGATATCAATCTATCTAGGGCTAAAACCCATACGAGACATGATGTTTCTCAAAAAACTCCAGCTAACTCTATCATAAGTTTTACTCATGTCCAACTTCATAGGCACCCATCCTTCCTTCCCTATACACCTTCTCTTCAGAAAGTGCTGAGTCTCAAAAGCCACAATGATATTATCAACAATAGACCTGCCAGGAATAAATGCACTCTGGTTCTCACCAATTAAAGAGCCCAAAATAGTCTTCAGTCTGTTCGCTAGAATATTTGAAAAAAATTTATAGACAACATTGCATAAAGCAATAGGTCTCCAGTCCCCCATAGATTCTGGCTCATCTTTCTTCGGAATTAAAACAATGTTAGTTATATTTAATTCCTTAGGCAGCACTCTAGAGTTAAAAATACCTGTGCAAAGTTGAACCACCTCTGCTCCTACCACATCCCAAAACTTCTGAAAAAAAGCCGGATTCATACCATCCGCTCCTGGAGCTTTATTAGGATGCATGTCAAAAATGGCTGCTCTAACCTCCTCTGCGGTAATTGGTTCTGTCAATTTCTCGTTCTGCCCCGCCGAGACATGTCTCAAGTTGTTCAATTCTTCCACAATAACCTCCCCTTGATTAGCCTAAAAAATATTCTCAAAATAGTTGTTGACCATACCCTCGAGCTCGGCTCGATCAGTTTTCCACTCGCCATCTTCTCCCCGCAACCCTTGGAGTCTATTTCTTCTTCTCCTTTGTTTAACCGCATTATGGAAAAATTTGGAATTTATATCGCCTTCCTTTAACCAGAACTCCTTAGCTCTTTGCTTCCAGTACATATGTTCTTTCTCCATTAAGCTTTGGATCACCACCTTTAAACGATTAAATTCATCTAAGCTTCCTAGGTCTGACCGACCACGTAGGTTCACCAATTTCTTTTTACATGCTAAAATGTGGTGACGAAAGCCTTTCGGCCAGCAGCTATCCCATCTCATCAGTTCCTCACCACAAAACATGATACGTTCACTGACTGACAGCTCCCGCCCCGCAAACCAACTGTTAACCACCACTGTTCTGCATTCATCCTCTTTAAGCCATAAGTTTTCAAATCGAAAAACCTTCTGCCTTTTTCCATGAATAGTTGGTTTAACGTTTATCCAAAGGGTCATATGGTCACTGGTAGGAGCTTCCACCGAAGAGGCTTGGGCCTCCATAAAGATATTCCACCAATCATCATTGACCAGGATCCTGTCCAGTTTTTGTTCAACCCAGTAACTCTTCCCCTTTCCCCGATCCCATGTCCACTGATAGCCTTGAAAAGGGAAATCTCGTAGTCCACAACTGGAAACAGCTTCTCTAAACCCTCTCAATCGCCACAACGGATGGTCGATGTTTCCTCTCTTCTCGGACTCATATAGGATGTCATTGAAGTCTCCTGAAATCATCCAGGGAAGAATGTTGTCTTCTGCGAGGTTGCAGAGCATCTGCCAAGCTTCCCGCCTCCGAACAGTCTCTGGGAACGCGTAATAGCACGTCAACCTCCACAACGGAGCGTTCGGTGCTAGTCTGACCTCACAATCCACGTAGTTCGAACAGGCCGCACAGACTGAAACCTCAACGTCGTCCTTCCAGCCAAAGGCAAGCCCTCCACTCAGTCCAACACTGTCCACGCCCACACAATGTACAAATCCGAGGCTCTGCAGAACTTCCTTCGATCGTTGTCCTCGAATCTTTGTTTCCATGAGAAAACAAATGTCTGGCCGTTGGGAACGAACCAAATCCGCCACTCCTTGCCGTGTTACACCATTCGCTAGCCCCCTGCAATTCCAACTCACCACGCTCATGCTTCGAATTTCTGAGAAATTGCCAGCCGCCCTTCTTCTCGCCTCCAATTTCCGAAAAACGGAGCAAGCCAGGTAAATCACCAACCGAAGCAAAAACGATTCACACCGATCGGCTCCAGGATTTTAGCCAATCGAATAAAACGATTCTCACCAAAACAAGAAAACACCGAACAAGATAGCCTCACCGCTGCCGCCGGAGAAAAAACCGAGCCGATAATCAGAGATCACCGCCGGAGAAACACCCTAGGAAAACCTAGGAGACGACCTCTTTTTTTGCCTATTTATTCTACGTATTAATTTACCTTGCTTAGTTAAATACACGTCTCTTTTAATTAGCCGTAGAAGTTTAGCTTCTAACAAAAAAAATAGGACATGTATATATATATATATATATTCTTAAAATAAAATAAAAAGAAAAATTAGTTGCCTTTCCCCGGCAACGGCGCCAAATTTGACGTGCACTTTGTCACGGTGCGTCAAAATAAATTGAGTACTAGAACTAATACGTAGTATAGTGAAGTAGAGTTCGTATCCACAGGGAAAAGAATAATTCTCTTTTTATGAACTAGTGAATAAAAGGGGAGTTTTGGTATTGTTGGAATTTAATTAATTAAACACGAAGATGGACGACTTATATGTGATTTAATTCAAAGATAAAAAAGGACTTGGCATTGCTACTTTCCACTTGTTGATATATTTTAGTCGATCATTGTTATATCTATAACTTATCCCGTCTCGAATACTCAATCGAGGAGTATATCCAATTCATCGAGGGTAGTTATTAACAACGACCGGTCATTAATAACCCTTACTATTAGTCAAGTATAGAACACCGCCATATACCGACTTGATAGTAGCATTTAATCTCTTAACTCTTTGATGAAATCAATTGAGATTGATAACCTCAACACAACGGTTTCGGTTTAACCAAAAAAATTAATCCCTCTTAAGTTTATTAACCACGACCGTGCATTAGTAAACCGAAGTTACTTACTTGTGAAACCATCAACGATTAACCATCGGTTCGTTGAACGTTTCTAGTAGTAATTAATGTTGAGATGTTAACTAATTGTCATCTTAGCAACACTCCCCAACATTAACATAGAGATAGATTAACAGAAGAATTAATATTCAAGGAAGAAGATTAAATATGAATAATCCTACTATAACTAATGTTGAGATGTTATCTAATTGTCATCTTAGCAACACTCCCCAACATTAATATATAGAGGAAGAAAATAAATACTACTATAACTAATGTCGAGATGTTAACTAATTGTCATCTTAGCAACACTCCCCAACATTAATATATAGATAGATTAAGAGAATAATTAATTTCAAGGGAAGAAGTTAAGAAAATAACTCACAACTTTAATAATCAACAAGCTTCAAGAGCAACACCAAGAAATGGAAGTTTGGAGACTAAACATGCTAGAAAAATATAAACAAATGCTATTCTAAACTGAGCTTAAGAGTATAAAGGAATTGGTTTTCAATTGTGAAGGGAAGAGGGTGTATTTATAGGCTTTTTGGGAGTGCAGTTCGGGTACCCGATCAAGTACACATAGGGTACCCGATCGGGTATTTGCAGAATGTTGAATTCGAGCTTTACTCGATCGATTCCAGGGTAGAAATAAAAGGCATACCCGATCAGGTGTGTCGGTGTACCCGATCGGGTATGACAACTTATCGTGGACAAATCTTCCCGTGCACGTCCCTTTGTTTCCTGATTGATATGATTGAAAATCAAATTGGTACGGGATCGAGTACATGGTATACTCGACCGGGTACATGTCAAAAATCAGGATTTTGCCTCCTTTTTGTCTTGTACTCTTGCACCTTCCTTCACCTGATGATCATTTGATTGAACTTGGACCTGTTTAAGTTCAGAATAAACCTAATCTAAACATATTACAACTATTTTACAAACATAACTATTACACCAAAAGTGTGTAATTTCCGAAATATTAAACAACTAAAACTAACTAAAAATGTAAACATACACACGGAAATTACAAGCGTATCAAACCCCTACCCTACCCCCACCCCTCGTATATTAACCCCTTACCTCTAACTTACCCCTTACCACATGCCCCCTACCTCGGCCCCACCCTACCGCCATCCTACCTCCACCCTCGTACCGCCATCTTACCCCCACCCCACCGCCATCATCCTACCCCCACCTTACCCTTACCCTTCCCCTACCTCGGCCCCACCCTGATCCCGTCCCCACCGCCATCCTACCCCCCACCCTCGTATTGCCATCCTACCCCCACCGCCATCTACCCCCACCCTATCCTACCTCGGCCCCCACCTTGATCCCGGCCCCACCCTCCTTACCTACTCCTACCTTACCCCAACCCTACCTACCCCCACCCTTACCCCTAAACACGACCCTAACCCACCCCACTACCCCCCACCCAACCCCTACCCCTAGACCTTACCACCCCACCCTGAACATACCCCCTTACCCCACCCCACCCATACCTTCCCTACCCCGACTGTAACACCTTCCCCAAATGTATTTACTTTTATGTAAATAATAATGTATTGAACCTTATTAAAGGATTAATGAATTTACGAAGTTGTAAATTTTTATTATTTCTTTCGCGTGAATAGTAAATTGCACGTGGGACCCACACCGGGAGCGGGGGCCGCCCGATATTCCCGAGACCATATATTTTATTCATCTTGGTCTAGATAATAAATATATAGTGGTGGATATTTCATCTGGGCCATGGGAAGGCCCAGAGTTGACCGACTGGTCAAAAGAAGCCCAAATTACCGGTACTGGTAATTTAACATATAACAGCCCGAACTGAATTCCGGAGGCTTATAAATTAAGGTTGAGGAATGTATATTCATTATAAGTGTCATAATGAATAAGAGAACATAATATATTTTATTTGACCCGATAAAATAAAATATATTTAAAACAGTCCGAAAAATACAACTTTCGGGACCGATTGTACATTTCTGGACAAAAAGGGTTGACCTCCCACATGTGTGGGGGCCAACCCACGTTTTTAGCCACCTAAAACAATGGGTTGGCCGGCTGGTAGGAATGGGAATCATGGGGGGAGGATTTGAATTGAAAGAAAAAGCATCAAACAAAATGAGGTGGACCCCCATCCACCCTCATTTGATCATTTAGACAAAAGGACTATCTCCTCACCTCTCTCTCCCCCATCCCTGCGGCCAACACCCCAAGCAAGAGCCAAGAAAACTCCTCATCCTCCTTTCTCCATTGTTGAAGAGAGCTCAACAAGGAAGGACCTCAAGAAGAGGAATTAAAGTGCAAAAAGTGTGAAAATTAAGGTAACGACCTTATCATAATTCTTTCTTTTTTTTTCTTCTACCATATGAAGTATATATCATGTGAAGGACCCTTGGTATGGTTCCACATGTTATGGGTATGGATTTATGGGTTGGAAGATGGTTCTACGTGTTGGGATTCGGGCAGAAAAACGCAGCGGAATAAACAAAATTTTTCTACCCAAAAGTAAATGAACGGATCTGAGGTTCTTATTATAAACGAAATTACAAGAATTTAAGAGGGACTTACATAGCAATCTTAATCAAGGATGTCAGACAGTCCGAGAAAACGATCCCGAGCTCTACCAGTATCCACACGCACGTGACTGGATCGGCCGCAGGGAACGTGCTAGCGTTCTCTTCTTTCTTCCTCTCTACTCTAGGTTTTAAGAAGTGAATTTTAACTCATAAAATTCGTGGGTCTCCTTAGCCCTATTTATAAGAGGTGGAAAGAAGGGGTTTTATGGCTAATAAAACCCTTAAAGAGGCCCTAGCCCAATACCATTCGAAAACCTCTTTCGAATTGGGCTAATCAAGCTATTTTAATGTTATTAACAAACATTAATGATCCAAATCACTTAGGTGTGTGACCCTGTAGGTTTATATATTATTGGCAGTGGGCTAGAAATTAATTCAAGCCTCACAAATCATAAGCGGTCTCTAGCAAGACATTATGACTATCCAAAATATATAAATGTCAATTAAATCTGACATAACCTTTTAATGATTAATTTGTGCTAACAATTCTCTTTTGTCAAACGATATCTTAATTGAGACAAGGTTAGGTCGTGTCATCCTTGTTATTCTCAATTAATATTTCTTGATTACCAAGTAAGATTAATCTTGATCAAATGACACCTCATTTGAGCATGGCCATGCTAATTAATCTTACTTGTCAAGGGGCCCAATAGATATCTTTCTCTCGATGTACAAGAGTGACAAAAAAACTATCTTGATAATTCACATACTGCTACATGGTTCATAATATGTATAATCACCACCTTTATAATTATCCAGTTAAAGATAACATTTAATGGTGTTAATACATATTAATTCTCATGCTAGTAACCATGATTATCTCAAGTATAAGAATATAGCACCTCATCATTATTGAGGACAACACTGATGACATATAACCTAGCAGTGTCCCCAAGTTGGGTCTGTCCAATGAACTTGTTCCCTAACAAGCATCTATGTTATTAACTCGATATCTCTATACCCATGACTAGTGAAATATAGCCATCAGTTAATCCACATACTGGTCTATTAATTATTAATGTCCCAAATTAATAATATTAGACCAGGGACAATTAGAATATTATGTTTATTTTAAAGTGTAGCATTCCACAATTAAGTCACATACTTAATTAGCTACTAAACAAAATATTCAGGGACTAAATATTAATAAAGAAAACTCACAATAATAATTAACATAAAATGAGTTTGCAACTTTATTAATTAATGAGCATTAAATATTTATTGATAAATCATAAACTATGATTGTCCTAGGGCATATTTCCAACAGTCTCCCACTTGCACTAGGACCAATCGTGAACAAAACGAATGCCTAATGCACTAGTATGACGTTCATGCTTTGCTTGTGGTAGTGGCTTGGTGAGCGGGTCAGCCACATTTGAATCTGTCGGTACTTTGCATATCTTGACGTCACCTCTATTGACTATTTCTCGAATGAGATGATAGCGTCTGAGTACATGCTTTGATTTCTGGTGCGATCTAGGTTCCTTGGCTTGTGCAATGGCTCCATTGTTATCACAATACAAGTCCATTGGTCCAACAATGCTAGGAACCACACCGAGCTCAATGATGAATTTTCTTATCCATACCGCTTCTTTTGCTGCTTCTGAAGCAGCAATGTACTCAGCTTCTGTTGTAGAATCAGCCACCGTGTCTTGTTTAGAACTCTTCCAGCTCACTGCTCCGCCATTGAGGCAAAACACAAATCCTGACTGCGATCTAAAATCATCCTTATCGGATTGGAACCCAGCATCTGTGTAACCTTTCACAATGAGCTGATCTTCACCACCATAGACCAAGAATACATCCTTAGTTCTTCTCAAGTACTTTAGAATATTCTTGACTGCTATCCAGTGACTATCACCTGGATCTGACTGGTATCTACTAGTCATGCTTAGAGCGCAAGCTATATCAGGGCGAGTACATAACATAGCATACATGATAGAACCTATAGCAGAAGCATAAGGGACTCTATTCATCCGATCTCGCTCATCTTGTGTTTGTGGACACTGAGTCTTGCTGAGATATGTGCCATGTGACATAGGCAAGAATCCTCTCTTGGAATCTTGCATATTGAACCTATGCAGGACCTTGTCAATGTAGTTACTTTGACTTAGTCCTATTAGTTTTCTAGATCTATCTCTATAGATCTTGATCCCTAACACATAGGATGCATCACCCAAATCTTTCATTGAGAAACACTTTCCAAGCCAAGCCTTTACAGACGAAAGCATTGGAACATCATTCCCAATGAGAAGTATGTCATCTACATATAGGACTAGGAAAGTGATTGCACTCCCACTCAATTTCTTGTAAACACAAGGTTCCTCTTCGTTTTGATTGAAACCAAACTCTTTGATTGCAGCATCAAAACGAAGATTCCAACTCCGAGATGCTTGCTTTAGACCATAAATTGATCTTTTAAGCTTGCATACCTTCCCAGCATTACTTGGATGTTCAAAACCCTCAGGTTGTATCATATACACGTCCTCTTCTAGATTTCCATTTAGGAAAGCAGTTTTGACATCCATTTGCCAAATCTCATAATCAAAATGAGCGGCAATTGCTAAGAGAATCCGAATTGATTTAAGCATGGCAACTGGCGAGAATGTTTCATCATAGTCTATACCATGAATTTGTTTGTAACCTTTCGCCACTAAACGTGCTTTATACACATCTATATTGCCATCTTTATCCAATTTCTTTTTGTAGATCCATTTGCACCCAATGGTTCTACAACCATCAGGTAGATCAACCAAGTCCCAGACTTGATTATCAGCCATGGATCTCATTTCGGATTTCATGGCTTCTATCCAACTATCGGAGTGATGGCTCGTTATTGCTTCTTGGTAGGTCAAAGGTTCATCTTCGTCAATCAATAATACGTCACGATGCTCAGTTAAGATAAACATGTATCTAACCGGTTCGTTACGTACCCTAGATGACCTCCTTGGAGCGAGTGTTATCTCAGACGTATCCACAACAACTTGTGGCTGAGGTTGTGGGACTGCTTGCATAGTCTGACTATCTTGATCTTCTTGAACTTCTTCAAGCTGAATTTTACTCCCACTGGTTCTTTCGGAAAGAAATTCTCTTTCTAAGAAAATACCATTACGAGCAACAAACACTTTGTTCTCTGATGGGTTGTAAAAGTAATATCCTTTTGTTTCCTTAGGATAACCCACAAATAAACACTTATCTGATTTGGGTTCAAGTTTATTTGAAAGTAAACGTTTTACATAAACTTGACAACCCCAAATCTTCACAAAAGCTAGACTAGGAACCTTTCCTGTCCATATCTCATATGGTGTCCTTTCTGTAGCCTTTGTTGGAGCCCTATTGAGTATGAATGCAGCGGTTTCAAGAGCGTAACCCCAGAATGAGATTGGTAGTTCAGCGAGACTCATCATGGAACGGACCATGTCTAACAAGGTCCGATTTCTCCGTTCGGACACACCATTCCATTGTGGTGTACCTGGCGGAGTGAGTTGTGAAACAATTCCACACCCTCTTAGATGATCACTAAATGCCTGGCTCAAATATTCACCACCTCGATCTGATCGAATGGCCTTAATTGTTTTGCCAAGTTGATTCTGAACTTCATTCTGGAATTCTTTGAACTTTTCAAAAGCTTCATGTTTATGCTTCATTAGGTACACATAACCAAACCTACTGAAGTCATCAGTGAATGTTATGAAGTACTGAAAACCTCCCCTGGCCATTGTTGACATTGGGCCACATACATCCGAGTGTATGAGGTCCAATAAACCGTGAACTCTTTCACCTTTACCAGTAAATGGTGACTTGGCCATTTTACCCAATAAACAAGATTCACACTCCTCGATTGATTCAAAATCAAAAGAATCAAGAAATCCACTAGAATGGAGTCTTTTAATGCGCTTCTCATTTATATGGCCTAGTCTACAATGCCAAAGGTATGTTGGGTTTGAGTCGTTAGATTTAAACCTTTTTGTATTTATGTGATAGATAGGCATTTCAAGGTTTAGAACATAAAGTCCATTTATGAGACTAGCACTACCATAAAAGATCTCATTAAAATAAATAGAACAAATGTTGTTCTTTATTATAAAATGAAATCCTTTCTTGTCCAAACAAGAAACAGAAATAATATTCCTGCTAATGGCAGGTACATGATAACAATTATCAAGTTCTAAAACTAAGCCCGTGGGCAAATTCAAAGTAAATGTCCCTATTGCTAATGCTGCAACTTTTGCACCGTTGCCTACTCGTAGGTCAACTTCACCTTTAGCCAGCTTTCTACTCCTTGTTAGTCCCTGCACATTTGAACAAATGTGAGAACCACAACCGGTATCCAATACCCATGAAGTAGTGGTAGTAACATTTACTTCTATCACATAGATACCTGAATTGGAAACATCACCATGCCCCTTCTTTTTCAGTTCCTCCAAATATGCCTTGCAATTCCGCTTCCAGTGACCAGTTTTGTTGCAGTGGAAACATTTTTGCTCTTCTTTAGAAGAAGAGCCAGCAACCGATTTGCTTTTACCCGAGTTCTTAACCAGGGTTTTGGATTTCTTGTTTCCACCAACCCTGCCATTACCATGCTTCTTGAATCCCTTCCCCTTTTTGACCATCAAAATGTCACTCCGATTTTTCTTGATGTTTTGCTCAGCAGAGTTGAGCATTCCATGCAATTCGGTTAAGGTCTTCTCAAGACCATGCATATTATAGTTCATGATGAACTGGTCATATGCCGGAGTGAGTGATGCGAGAATCACATCAGTAGCCAACTCTTGACTAATTGGAGATCCAAGTCTTTCCAGGTGATCCCTAAGCCCAATCATCTTGAGCACGTGAGGTCCAACCGGGTTTCCATCAGTAAGCCTTGTGTGAAACAAAGCTTTGGTCGTCTCGAACCTTTCGATCCGTGCTTGTTTCTGAAACAAGTTCTTGAGTTCATTAGAGATGTCATGTGCACGACGATTCAGAAACTGTTTCTGAAGATTAGCTTCCATGATAGTTAACATCAGACAAGTGACATCAACTTCATCACGGACATGCCTTTCATAAGCATCTCTAATGGCTCTAGCAGCATTGGCCGCTGGTTCAGCAGGAATTGGTTGGTCAAGGACATATTCTTTACGCTCTTGTTTGAGAACGATTCTCAGATTTCTATCCCAGTCCATGTAATTTGTTCCATTAAGTTTTTCCTTCTCAAGGATAGATCGCAGTGAAAAAGTTGTGTTGGCGGCCATATTTACTACAACAAATAATGCAAAGAATTTTAAATAATGCTCAAAAATAACTCCCACTATATTAAATAGAAAGTCCCAAATATAGTGGTCCAAGATCCATATTTCACTAAAATTTAAGTAAGCTTTGACTTATCACTTAAAAATTAGTTATTTAGGTAAACAACTCTTGTTAATCATATCCTATATGACTCTTGGTTTGTTTGGTCAACATCATTTGATTATCCAAACACTCCTTGCTTCAAGGCCCAAAACTATTTTGATGGCCTTGTAAGTCCAAACCAATATTAAGACCCGAGAATGACGATCATTCAAAACATCTTCCTAAGATAGTGTGAAATGCTCTGCTTTGGCAGACACATATCACGACTAGCATAGTTTAAATAGTGGTCATATTGGGAAAGCAATTTAGACTTATAATTAGTCGGGACTAATAATTACACACATGCAGCAATCAAATATTTAAATAAATAATTTAAAACTAGTGCAGTGATATAGCATGATCCCAAAATCTTCATATTTCCTTGACATCTTCAACCTGTGTAGTGTACTACAAAAAATCTACGGGGTTGAAAACCATTACAGGGGATAGTGGGAAACGGCACGCAGGCCGTAAAACAACATAATATAAAACATACATTCGGATCATGCTATACCACCAATTCAAATTGTTCCTGTGACGAAACAAAATAATTGCGCATGCACGGATTGAAAATTAAATTTTAAAATCCGCAAGTAATATGTAATTAATTTGGATCTCATCCGAAAAACAAACATACATATTAATGAATTCTTATTCGATCAAGATGCTAAAACATATTATCAAATAATATGTTTACAAGATCTAACTCAAATATTAAATTAAAACATGCAAAATGAATCTAATTCATTAATTAATATAATCGTCCAAAATAATACGAAGTACAAAATAGCATGCTAAAATAATGTACAAATACAGGAGATAAGAATTAGTCACACTAATTACGTAAGCCTTTTAGTCTCCTAGATGCACAATAAAGTTAGGCTATTTTGCGGTAAATTGGTAGTGCAATTCATTTATTAATCCGTACTGCATGACCTAGTATCTCATATATGCAGTTACATGTTAAATTATATGAGTCAGGATCTTAGTAGAATTGAAAAAGAGTCCTTGGGTGTATTCAATTTCTAAAATCTAAGCACCCAAGCAGACAACGGCGAAAACATAGCAAGACATAGATTTCGTCGTTACCAGATTTCATCCTCACAGAATCGAAAAATCCCGTATACATAGAAACAAAATATACCAACGATTTTTCAGATTCAAAATGATAATACTTTATTAATTTCAAAAATTAAAAATATCAAAACTAAAGTAAAGGATGTTCCATTCAATTCTAAAACACCGAACAACTGATTTCATCTCAATAAACCCAAATCGCCGTACGCATGTTCGTCAATCAGCAGGGCTATAATTTTGCTACCAGATTTTAAATTCTAAAAAATTAAATTCTTAGATTTGTTCAAAACGGTTTGATTTCGGAAATCAAACAACAGCAAAAAATACCTTTTGGATCGAAATAACATATTGACTAATGAATATGCATATCAAATTTCGTATAATGTCAATAGATCAGGTAACCCGAATATAATAAAGAACCGTTGGCTCTGATACCACTGTTGGGATTCGGGCAGAAAAACGCAGCGGAATAAACAAAATTTTTCTACCCAAAAGTAAATGAACGGATCTGAGGTTCTTATTATAAACGAAATTACAAGAATTTAAGAGGGACTTACATAGCAATCTTAATCAAGGATGTCAGACAGTCCGAGAAAACGATCCCGAGCTCTACCAGTATCCACACGCACGTGACTGGATCGGCCGCAGGGAACGTGCTAGCGTTCTCTTCTTTCTTCCTCTCTACTCTAGGTTTTAAGAAGTGAATTTTAACTCATAAAATTCGTGGGTCTCCTTAGCCCTATTTATAAGAGGTGGAAAGAAGGGGTTTTATGGCTAATAAAACCCTTAAAGAGGCCCTAGCCCAATACCATTCGAAAACCTCTTTCGAATTGGGCTAATCAAGCTATTTTAATGTTATTAACAAACATTAATGATCCAAATCACTTAGGTGTGTGACCCTGTAGGTTTATATATTATTGGCAGTGGGCTAGAAATTAATTCAAGCCTCACAAATCATAAGCGGTCTCTAGCAAGACATTATGACTATCCAAAATATATAAATGTCAATTAAATCTGACATAACCTTTTAATGATTAATTTGTGCTAACAATTCTCTTTTGTCAAACGATATCTTAATTGAGACAAGGTTAGGTCGTGTCATCCTTGTTATTCTCAATTAATATTTCTTGATTACCAAGTAAGATTAATCTTGATCAAATGACACCTCATTTGAGCATGGCCATGCTAATTAATCTTACTTGTCAAGGGGCCCAATAGATATCTTTCTCTCGATGTACAAGAGTGACAAAAAAACTATCTTGATAATTCACATACTGCTACATGGTTCATAATATGTATAATCACCACCTTTATAATTATCCAGTTAAAGATAACATTTAATGGTGTTAATACATATTAATTCTCATGCTAGTAACCATGATTATCTCAAGTATAAGAATATAGCACCTCATCATTATTGAGGACAACACTGATGACATATAACCTAGCAGTGTCCCCAAGTTGGGTCTGTCCAATGAACTTGTTCCCTAACAAGCATCTATGTTATTAACTCGATATCTCTATACCCATGACTAGTGAAATATAGCCATCAGTTAATCCACATACTGGTCTATTAATTATTAATGTCCCAAATTAATAATATTAGACCAGGGACAATTAGAATATTATGTTTATTTTAAAGTGTAGCATTCCACAATTAAGTCACATACTTAATTAGCTACTAAACAGAATATTCAGGGACTAAATATTAATAAAGAAAACTCACAATAATAATTAACATAAAATGAGTTTGCAACTTTATTAATTAATGAGCATTAAATATTTATTGATAAATCATAAACTATGATTGTCCTAGGGCATATTTCCAACACTACGTCCAAAAATGGACTTAGAAGCCAAAACGACGGGTGCACCGGAAAATAACCTTTTAGAGGCTATTTGTGTTAATATGGATTTTATGATTATAAAACCTTGTTAGGCACTTGTAAAGGGTATTTCAAGTGATTTCACAAAGTTGTAAAGTCGCCGGAGTTGTCGCCGGAGTTGACCAAAAGTCGCTGGAGTTTCACCGGAGTTCAACCAAGAAGGGTAGAACTTCATAACGCTAGTTCAAGGTGAGTGGACAGCTTAATATCTTATAACTTTTGGGTTAATTATAAGATTACCTAAATAAATGTTATATGTTTTCATAGTGATGTTTAAAAGATATTTAAACATGTGATTAGCCAACATAGATAAGTTTGTATGAAAGGAATTAATTGTTTATGCATGAAATATGATATGAGAAATTATATGAAATGCATATTTGTTTGAAGTGTAAAAGAAGCACAAATGAATATTATTAACTTATTTATATGATGATTAAGTTGATATGTACAAGGCTTGAAATGGCGGTCAACGACAACGTTGACCGATGGATAATGGATTAATTAATATCGTTGATATTAGTTAATTATAAATTTACATAAATGCATGCCTTTGCATGGATTGTGATACATAAACTTTATGTATTGAATTAGTTATGAATGGCTAAGTATGATATAGACTCTATCTAGGTTGATAGGAGGTTAATCATAGGAAAATAATTTGGTGGAGGACCCTAGTACTTAAAAGTACTTAACACTCAAAACTTGGTTGAGGACCCTAGGACTTAAAAGTCCTTAACACTCATATTTTGGTGGAGGACCCTAGTATTTAAAAGTACTTAACACTCAAAACTTGGTGGAGGACCCTAGGACTTAAAAGTCCTTAATACTCAAACTTGGTGGAGGACCCTAGGACTTAAAAGTCCTTAACACTCAAACTTGGTGGAGGACCCTAGTACTTAAAAGTACTTAACACTCAAAATTTGGTGGAGGACCCTAGGACTTAAAGTCCTTAACACTCGTAAATAAATTGGTGGAGTACCCAAGGATTATGATCCTCAAAACTCATAGATTATGATATTGAAATAGGGAATAGGAGGAGTCCTATACACTCATAGGTATATGAGTGGGTTGGGGTTTTTAGTCAAGAATATTGACTATTACTAGTTTTCCCAAATAAAATGGTGATCTACGGATCGGATATTTTCCAAGTATATATATACTAATAAGTATTTCATAACTTGGGGGAAAGACTATTTATATAAGTATCACCCTATGTTTGGGTCTTATACTTGAAACGCTAGTTATTCTATATTTAGCCTGCTACTCGCTCGGTACTTGTACTGACCCCTTCGGGCCCCCCCACCATTTTCAGGTTGAAGCTAGGGCTTGCTACTTGCACCTTCTTATGGGTGATATCAACTTCAGGAAGATGTGGTTCGTGCTTCCTTATTTTCTTTCAAACTACCGAACACTTGCTCATGGATATTTGTTCTACTACAAACTATTTTTGGGGCTTGCATGCCCATGTTGTTGGCCGGCTGTGGATTATGACTTACCGTTGAATATTTCCGCTATTCATTGGTTTAAATGTGATGTTGTTATGTATGTTGCTACTGAGTATGGATGTATTATTTTCTCGAACGCCTTGTGTAATTAAGTGAGGTTGACTCGTGGGTGACGTCACTTGATTATACGGCGGTTGTACACGCGCTTGGATTGCGGTCTGGGGCGTGACAATTAAGTGGTAGCAGAGCTATCTCAGTTCTAAACTATATAATCAACCTCTCACAAAAGATTTTACAAAAGAGTTTTTACCGAAAACCATGAGCATTGTATTTTGACGTTTATAGGACTATTGGTGCTTAAGTTGCAAGGCCTCTAATCGTTAAGACGGTACCCTTAACAATTGGTATGGTGGTGACTTGGGCCAATACGTGTCTGTAACGTTCTTCCGTCAATTGACATTTATAGGAGTCTAATGACTCATCCATATTTCTTTCAGAAATGGAGGGCAGGCGAATGGCAACCAGGAACAATCCGAGGGGGCAGGCGCCGGTAGCATCCCAAAGGGGAAGCCGGGCTGCATCTCGGGGTTCAAGAGGAGGCCGTGGAGGCCGTGGAAGCCGTGGAGGTCATAGGGCTCAAACTGTGAGCGACGGCCATGTTAGTTCGGTGTATGAAACCAACACCGAAGACTACGACTCTACATATGTTCCGGAAACGGAGCATGAGGAGACCCCATATGATGGGGGTGACACGTACACTAACGATGATGATGAAGAGAGTGATGCCAAGTTCGCCCAAATGGGCGAATCGCTTGAGTGGTATCAAAAAGAGAGACTGAGGAGAGACCTTAGGCGCTAAGCAAGGCGTGGCTCTCGTGGTGGTTCCGGTCACATGATGGGCGCGAAGGAGGTTTTTGTGTGAGAATCTCAAAGTACCTCAAGGAGGCTAGGGCCTTGGGGTGTAAGTCCTTTGACGGCACCGGTGATATTACCGTTGCCGCCGATTGGATAAAGAAGGTGAAGGATGCGGCAAAGGACATGCAAATTTCATCTGACGTGAAGTTGACTGTTGCTTCACGGCTGCTTTAGAGGATAGCTTCCACGTGGTGGGAGAGTGTAGAAGGGAAATACCATGGGGAGGTCTCATGGTTGAATTTTGAACAGGAATTTTATGACCAATACTACACTGACTACGAGAAAAATGTCAAGCGTGGGGAGTACACCAACCTCAAACAGAAGGAGGGTGGTTCTGTTAAACAGCTGGAGCAAGATTTTAGAACCTTGGCTAGGTTCTTGCCGGAGTACGCGATCAATGAGGACCGCATGTCGGAGCACTTTTGGGATGCCTTACTCTTGGACATCCGTGATCGGGCTACGTACTCGCGCCACATGACCTTTAGCGAGGTGGTGGAGCAGGGCCTTCTTGGGGAGGCTCAATGGAATGAGAGAAAGGAAAGAGACGCCGAGGAGGCGAAAAAGAGAAAATGGCATAGTTCGGGGACGCCCGAGCAAGCACGGAAGAATAACCACGGTGGGGGTGGGGGTACGTTCAAGGCGCCGGCACCACCGGCGAAGAAGAACAAGGATGCTCGGTGGCACGCATCCTCCTCTCAAAATACGGGGCCTCCTAAGTGTGCCAACTGTTCAAAGAATCACTTCGGGAAGTGCAACGCACCCCCGAGGTGTTATCGATGTGGGAACACGGGCCACATGAAGGCCAATTGCCCACAATTGGGGGGAGGAGGAGCGCCGGGGACCGGAGGAGGAACCACGACGAGAAGGAACCGTGCGGGACCGTAAACGGCGGTACGGGAAGAGGCGACGCATCCACAAGTCATGCGGCGTCCTTAAATCAAGGCGGGAACCAAACACGAGTGTACGCGATGACCGAGGCTGATGCGCGAGCAAACCCGGACTCCGTAGCAGGTATCACACATACATTTCTGTGTTTCTAGGCTTATTTTGATCATATAAGTCGTAAGGGTTGGGCGCGGGGCACCCCAAGGTCATACCGGGTGAATTTAGGCCAAAACGGGCTAGGAACAACCACTGGTGGCCGGGCACGCTTGCAGGCACGCAGTGCGTGCTACACAGGCACGCCGTGCGTGGCCTTATGGGAGCATCGCGCCTGTGAGGCAGTAGCTCTCCAAGAAATTCGGTCGGACGCACGACCGTGCGTACCAGCAGGCACGCCGTGCGTGGCCATGCAGGCACGCCGTGCGTGGCCATGCAGGCACGCCGTGCGTGGCCGGCAGTGGCGAGCAGGGAGATTCTGATGCACGCACGGCCGTGCGTGCCACCCAGGCACGCCGTGCGTGAACCCCCAGCACCCGAAAACCGAAATTTTTGCCCCGTTCTTCTACGTTTGGACCCCCGTTTGATTCCAAACATTAGTATGAACCTAATAACCTCATAAAGATGTGTAAAAACATTAGAAAATGAATCTTACATGGTGTATAAATGTAGGAACATTAAAGATCAATGGTAGGTGTGCGAGGATCCTCATCGATACCGGGGCACAACGCTCATTTGTGAGTGAGGCGTTCGTCGAGGGCCTTGACGTGCCATTGACACCTATGACGCAAACGTTGCTAGTCTCCACACCGTTAGGAGACGACGTGGAGAGAAATCATTACTATCCGTCGTGTGAGGTAGAAGTGACGGGTCAACCTTTGACTTGTGATTTCGTACCTCTAAGCATGTTGGAGTTCGATGCAATCCTAGGAATGGATTGGCTCGAGAAACACCATGCTCGAGTAGATTGCTACACCAAGGTGTTGGAGCTCAAGGATGATCAAGGAAACATGCCATGTTTCGAGGGAGATCGGGGGAAATCTAATGCTTGTATCATATCCGTGATGAGAGCACGGAAGATGATGAGGAAGGGATGCCACGCATACCTTGCCTACATGGTGGACGATACCAAGGAGGAAGTCGACATCAAAGATGTACGGGTCGTGTGCAAGTACCCGGATGTCTTTCCCAAAGACCTATCGGGGCTTCCACCCGATAGAGAGATAGAGTTTGTAATTGAAGTGGAGCCGGGAACCAAACCCATTTCGATTCCTCCTTATCGAATGGCGCCGGCCGAACTCCAAGAGTTGAAGGTCCAACTACAAGAATTACTGGACAACGGGTTCATCAGACCCAGTCATTCACCATGGGGAGCACCCGTACTCTTCGTGAAGAAAAAAGACGGTACACTAAGAATGTGTATCGACTACCGACAGTTGAACAAGGTCACAATCAAGAACAGGTATCCTTTACCGAGGATTGATGACTTGTTTGACCAACTTCGAGGGGAAATAGTATTTTCGAAGATTGACTTGAGGTCGGGGTATCATCAGTTGAAGATCAAGGAGAGTGACATACCTAAGGGTGCATTTCGCACTAGATATGGTCACTACGAGTTTCTTGTGATGTCATTTGGTTTAACCAATGCATCGGCAGCATTCATGGACTTGATGAACCGTGTGTTTAGTGAATACTTAGATCAATTTGTGATAGTATTCATTGATGATATCTTAATATACTTCAAGAGCGAGGAGGAGCACGAACATCATTTGGGGCTTATACTTGATCGGCTAAGGGAAAAACAACTCTTTGCCAAGTTCTCTAAATGCAAATTTTGGCTCAAAGAGATTGGGTTCCTCAGTCACGTCATATCCGGTTCGGGCGTTGCTGTGGATAACACCAAGATAAAGGCTATCATGGATTGGGAGAGGCCCAAGAATGTGAAGCAGATACGTAGTTTCCTTGGCTTAGCGGGATACTATCGTAAATTTGTTGAAAAATTTTCTGTATTGGCGTCTCCATTAACGAAGCTCACAAAGAAAGGGGCCAAGTTCATATGGGACGACAAGTGTGAGAAAGGGTTCCTTGAACTGAAGAAACGACTTACTGAAGCACCAGTCCTTGCCCTACCCATACAAGGGATAGGGTATGATAATACAGCGATGCTAGCATCCAAGTGCTTGGATGTGTACTGATGCAAAACGGTAAGGTGATTGCCTATGCTTCTAGGCAATTGAGGAAACACGAGGTGAACTACCCTACCCATGATCTAGAATTGGGGGCGGTAGTGTTTGCACTAAAAATTTGGAGACATTATCTCTACGGGGAAACATGTCACATTTATACAGATCATAAGAGCTTGAAGTATGTATTCACTCAAAAAGAGTTGAATATGAGGCAGAGGAGATGGATGGAGTTGATCAAGGACTATAACTTGATCATCGACTATCATCCCGGAAAGGCCAATGTAGTGGCCGACGCACTGAGCAGGAAGAGTACGTCGGGGACGTTACTTACTTGTCTACAAGCACTGAGGGCACACGTGGAGGTGTCCACGAGTGGAGTGCTCATTGCTAGGTTCGAGGTTAGGCCTACATTGCTAGGTGAGATCAGTAGATGTCAGGCCATTGATGACGAGTGTCAAAAGATTCGTGAACGGATCCTTGAAGGACCTGTTGAGAACTTCCGAGTACGTGATGACGGTCTATTATTGTATAAGGACCGTGTATGCATACCAAAGAATGAAGAACTCCAGAAGTCTATACTCGAGGAGGCTCATTCTTCAGCTTATGCTATGCATCCAGGAGGTACTAAGATGTACCGAGATTTGAAGGAAAGTTACTGGTGGTCAGGTATGAAGAGAGACATCGCAGAGTATGTGAGTCGGTGCCTTACTTGCCAACAAGTTAAGACAGAACATCAGCACCCGGCAGGGCTTTTGCAGCCACTCACCATCCCAGAGTGGAAATGGGAGCACGTGACCATGGACTTCGTGGTGGGGCTACCACGAACGGTGAACAACTATGATGCAGTTTGGGTAGTGGTTGATAGGCTCACCAAGAGTGCACACTTTTTGCCTATCAACATTACTTATCCTCTTGAAAGTTTGGCCAAGCTATACACGGAGGAGATTGTGAGATTACATGGAGTCCCAATATCCATTGTCTCGGATAGGGATCCACGATTCACATCCCGATTTTGGACAAAGTTTCAAGCATCGTTGGGTACTAAACTGAAGTTTAGCACAGCTTTTCACCCATAGACGGATGGACTGTCCGAGCGGGTGATACAGATTTTGGAAGACATGCTTAGGGCATGTGCTCTAGAGTTCCAAGAAAGTTGGGACAGGCATTTGGCTCTAGTGAAGTTTGCTTATAACAACAGTTATCAAGCAAGTATTGGCATGCCTCCATACGAGGCATTGTATGGGAGGAAATGCAGAACACCGTTGTGTTGGGACGAGGTTGGCAAGGCCAAACTCGAAGGAATAGAACTGGTTGAGATCACCAAATCCAAGGTGAGGATCATTCAGGATAGACTGAAGGCTGCTCAGGACCGACAGAAGAGTTATGCTGATAAACGGCGGAGACCATTGGAGTTTGAAGTTGGTGATGAGGTCTTCCTAAGGATTTCTCCTTGGAAGGGCATCATCTGATTCGTATCAAGGGGAAAGCTTAACCCCCGATACATTGGACCGTTTGAGATCCTTGAAAGGGTTGGGGCCGTGGCTTATCGTCTCAAGTTAACGCCAGAACTTGAGAAGATACTCGACGTATTTCATGTATCAATGCTCAAGAAGTACATACGAGACCCATCTCATATTCTTGAGAAACCGCCGGTAGAGATCCGTGAGGACTTGCAATATGCGGTTGAACCAGGGAAGATTGTTGGTCAACAAGTTAAGAAGTTGAGGAACAAGGAGATTCCTATGGTAAAGGTTCTTTGGAGGAGTGATCGAGTCGAAGAGGAGACTTGGGAGACCGAAGTCTCAATGAGGGAGCAATACCCACTCCTTTTCGATTAGACACATGGATTTCGGGGACGAAATCCCAAATAAGGGGGGGTGAACTTGTAACACCGTCCCCAAATGTATTTACTTTTATGTAAATAATGTATTGAACCTTATTAAAGGATTGATGAATTTACGAAGTTGTAAATTTTTATTATTTCTTTCGCGTGAATAGTAAATTGCA